CTCATTAAAACACAGAAGAAGAAAATAAAATAAATAAATAAATAAACACTTGCAGTTATGGTTCTTCGTTTCCTCAGCAATCAAAATTATGCTAATTATTGCACACCAGAGATTTTCTACTTACAGACTCAGTTTGGTATATCCATCAGAATGAAGAAACATCAACAAAATAACAAGATCTTAAAGTCTGAAGTAAATTAAACTAATTAAGCTTTTTAATTAAAGTATGAGTTTTCCATATTTATCAAAACATAAACCTGGTAGTATTTATATGTTTCCTCATTTTCTTATCAATCAAATTTGAGTAAATAAAAATCCTAAACATTCAATTTGAAGCCCTAGAAACCCTAATCGACATGAATCCACAATTCACGTTAAATTCATCTGAATATCGAAAAGAAAGCAATCACAACCAAAGTAAAGAACAACAATACTACAAAATCCTCAAGAAAACTTGGATATATAGGTGAAATTAGATGGCGAATCAATAAATCCACATTAAATCCATCACAACATAGAATCAAGAACAATTTTCTCAAGAAAATTTTGATTGACGTACCAGATCGATCGAAGTTCAGATCTGAGCTTTTGGAAATCACTGAATCTCTAAATCTCTTCAAATGAGGATCAAGTAAGAATGCCTTAAAACATTGATTTCATAGATTTAGAGAGAGAGAGAGAGAGAGAGAGAGAGAGAGAGAGAGACGGTGGAGCTCGCTATCTCGCCGATGCAGATGGTGCTGGCGATGGATCTTCGAAATCGCTTCGATGGAACTTAGAGAGAGTTGAGAGGGAGATGTGTGCGTATAAGGGTTGAGAGAGAGAAAGGGCTCAGATTCAAAATAAGGGTTTCAAAAGAAGGCGAGTGTCGCTACCGCATTTGGAGGCGTTGCTAAACGCCTCCTATTATAAAACTGTGGCGTTTTGTTTAAAATAATATGCGGCATTTATAAAACACAGTTAAATATTAACCGTTAAAAAAAACGTCGTTAAAAAAACGCCACCACATTCTCTTTTTCCAGTAGTGTATTATAACCAAGATCATCCGATTACAAGTTCTAATCGATCTTTTTAGTACAAAGTTAAAATATAAAAGTTGTCTAAAATTACATATACATGCCTCTGCCCAAATTTCGTAATTCATCAAGGTCGTTTACTATTTTTCAAGATGTACAAATCCATACAATTCACACTATATCAATAAACTCATATTTAATTATTTGTACCTTAACTCTACCACTTCGGCCCTTCACTTCTGGCCTACACATATATCCCATGTGTCTCTCGTATACCTAACACCGCTCCAAAGCCAAACTTGCACGGGAATATCATCCCGAGTTTGACCCACACTCCCCGGATGGTTAGCATATATGTACACGCGTAAATCAAAGCACTCATCTACTCTTGAGAACGAGGCGACAATATATATATATACACAATCTTTTATCTACTCATGAGAACAAACATAACAATACCAAGCCTAAGGCATGCAAATAAATCTCATAATCCTCATCTTTTTTTTATATACTCTTTCTCACCAACACTTAAATAAAATAACAATCCATAGAGTCATGGTGGAGTATAAGGAATTTATCTATGGGTTCCTAATTTATTTTAATTTCATATATCCATGAGTGTGATTACAACCATATAATAAATACATATAAAGATCCTAAACCTGACATACACAACTAATCAAAATAATTAAAATCAATCTATCAACTTCATGTAAATACAAAATCAAGCTAACATCAAATAAATATAAATAAATAAATAAAACAACAAATTAAACATAAATCGAGGGAAGTGGGTTTTGCACTTACAATATTTTTTGAAGATCAAATAAATATTTAAAGAACTAATGGAGCCACCAAAACAAAATCCTAACCTTTTTTTTTTTTTGGTTCTTCTCCACTCCTCTTTCCTGCCTCTCTTTTCACGCCACACACAACACTTTTTTTTTCTTTGATTACTCTCTCTCTCTCTCTCTCTCTCTCTCTTGGCTACTCTCTCTTTCGGCTGCTCTCTCTCTCTTTTTTGTTTTCTTTTCTTGCTGATTACCTAATCACTATTCTAACCTAATTGACTATTATATAAATTATATAAATACACATAAATATAACATATATAAATATAAATATAAGATCTATATATATATAACACCTTTTATGTACATAAAAAAATATCAATAAAGCCAAAAATAAAATAAAGTAATAATAACAATAATAAATAATGACTTAAGAAAGTTAGGGTCCTTACATGACATTTGTTGCTTTCTTCAACTTTCTTCTTGGTAAAAAATTGGATTATAAATTTGATTTAGAAAGGTGAAAGGTTTTATATGATCTTGGTTTTTGTATATGCAGGAAGGTTTGTCACCCTTGGACTTTTATATTGAGGATGAATTCCATAGTGCCATTCGTGGTGGAGCTTTTGCCATTTGAATGTCAAACAGTTGATTAATTTCTTTGACATTTGAAAATTTATTAGAAAATTTTTTCCTCATTAGCTTGTCTTAACAAATAAACCGTTATACACTCTGTGTGATAAAACACAAGTAATGCTTATGTTGGAGCTAGCAATTTCATATTATCATAATGTTGAATGAACAAAAAAAAATGCCACAAGATTATGGCATTATGTTTTTTAGGCAATTTCCCTGCCCATTGACATACATTTTAAAAGGTTAAGCTGAGGTAGTCTAGTTTTGTAGCTCCTATTAATTTGGCTGATTTTTGTTTGTGCAATTGATGATGTTGGATCAAATGAAATGTTTGTAGGGTAAGTAAGATAAGATAATTAAGGGAATGTGAATTTTACGAATCTGGGTGTTAAAATGAGAGAAAATGAAACATTGGCTATTTTTATTTGCTTGTTTACATACTATCACTTTTTTAGAGTAAATTATGTTAATTAATTTGTTTTTCTATTGAGGTTCTTGGACAGATGGAGGCACGTGATTATTGATAGGGGTTGGTTGGTTGGTTAAAATTACAAGAAGTGAAAAGCTTATTGGCTGTGTGTGGTTCGAGAGTGAGGTTGTGGCCTGTGAGGTTGATTTCTACTATAAATATATTTTTTTCAATTATATATTTATTGGGTGTATTGAAGTGTAATATTTTGTTGTATCATTTCATTGCAGAGCTAACATGATGAGTTGGAGGCAAAGTTTTTTGAGAAGAGAGGAGCCGTTGAAACTAAATACCAGAGCACACTCCATATATATATATATATATTATTAAAATGAGAAAATATTAGCAATTTTTATTTTTTTTTTAATTTTTTGTATTGAGTTAACATATTGTGATTTAAGGTTTTTGTTTTTGGTTATGGAAAATTGGAAAATGAATACTGACTCACATTATGGTATATGTTTTGAAAATGGTGATGGATTATAGGTTGGTTTTTTTTTTTTTTTTTTTTGGTTGAGGAAAAGGTTTGCTTTGAACAGAAGTAAAAAACATCATTAATTTTGATTTTTTTGAAAAAAAAAAAAGAAGGAAAGGTGGCATTTTTCATAAAACCATCGCAAAATGTCATTATGATTACATCATAGTTAATTCATCTGACGGAAATAGTCAACGGATGTTAAGAATTAGAGACGCTTTAAAAAACGTCATCTAAACTCATAGTGGCATTTTTAAAACGCCACAAAGATGTGGCGGCGGCCGTATCAGCGACGAATTTTTTAAACATCGCTTTATCTTTTTGCAGCATCTTTCTGGCCTTTTGCGGTGTTTAAAAACGCTGATAATTTGTGATTTTATTGCAGTGTGTACGCATACAATTTTCCCTTGAGAAAATATCTTATTCTTGAATCGTTTTGTTTTCAACTGATTTTTTCTTTATTTTTTAGTGGGTATCTTAAGCCAGGTGCACACCAGACTAAGTTGACTTGTTAGACCTTGAATGAGTGTGCACCATTGAACTCCACCAATTACGAAGTGGACAGTCAGGCTTGTCCAAATGTGATGCTCAGTATGGCCGTCCAAGGGGTTGAGGGCGTGAGATTTAATTCATTTGTCAAGTTAATTTTTTTTTTTCCTTTTTCCCTTTGTTATATTGGTCTCCTAACTTAATGAATACACCTGTATTTATATATTTGAAGATAACTGAGATGCACAAATTGAACAGTACTTGTTTGAAATTATTATTTGAAAAATACTTGAGACATCTAATTTATCATCTCTAAAAATTACTTTAAATGATGTGTTTGATAAATGGTAAATTTTGATTTATTAAACATTTCATCATGTAAGATCTAACTAGAAAAATTATTAATTTATCATCTCTAAAAATTACTCTAAATGATGTGTATGATAAATGACAAATTTTGATTTATTAAACATTTCATTATGTAAGATCTAACTTGAAAAATTATTGATGGCTTCAGGGACACCACGTGGTTATGCCCCTGGCCAATCACAAATCACCATGTCCCCTCATGTTCTCAAATTACCCAACACAAAATCGTGTGTCTCACTTCCTTTACCAATCACAATGCATGTGGAGCGCCACATAACGTTGCTCCTAGACCAATCAATAACTTTTCGTCTAACCTCAATGTCACATTATTATGGCTGGTTTAGTTAATGTTGTGTATTTTTTGAACAAAATATTGAGAGGATTTATAAATGAGAAAGCAGACTTCTTGTGAGAATCATCAAGAACACGTTTTGTACTCTTTTTTTTTGTTTTGTACTCCTTTTTTTTTTTTTGGTTCTCTCTTTTTGTGATAAATCCAAAAATCGAGTTCAACGGTCGATTTATTTTGGGCCGTTGAATCTGTGCCCAATGATTCAACGGCTCAAATCATGATTTCAACAATCAGGAATGTTCATATAGTAGTCTGTAGTCGACACAATAACTGTTGGGTTGACTCCTTGCACTGTGCCTGGGGTCAAGATCAACGGTAATATTTTTTAAAAACCTCTTGAGCTTTGATCTAAGGATGCATTGCATACATGATCTCATTATTTTAGAGCTACAAAATCCCAATCATGATTATTAATAGCATAACATCTTCTGTTCATTGTGCTGTATTAATAATAGCAGTGTCAGTATGCATAGTAGCTATTGTTCTTATTACAGTGCCAGCATCTACGAAAGCATCGCCATTTTCACCTCTGTCAATAGAGGCGAAAGCTCTACTCGATAGCTGTTGGTGGGGAAACTTTGTTTCAACAAATCACTGCGAGTTGATGGGCGTCACCTGCAACGAGGTAGGAAGTGTCACTCGAATTGACTTTTTTTCTTCCCATTCTCTCCCCGAAAAGCTTGAAAACATGAATTGGGCTTCCTTACGAAACCTTGAATATCTCAATCTCAACAATTGTTTCTCAACTGGAAGCAGAAGCATACCTGACGAAATCGGTACTCTGTCAAAGCTCATGTACCTTGATCTCTCTTACAACTATTATCTTCAAGGTTTGCTACCTCTTACCTTGGGAAACCTCACCCAACTAGTACACCTTAACATATCTAATACTGAGATCACTGATACAATTCCTTCATCTATTGGTCAATTAACTAATCTAATCTTTATGTGTCTCTCTTCGAATCGACTTAGCGGTACCATCCCTCCAGATATAGGGAAGCTAAGCAATTTGGTTGAGATGTATATAAGTAATAACATCCTTAGTGGTCCAATTCCTCCAGAAATAGGACATTTGATGCAATTGGCTCACTTGGACCTTAGCCATCACTTTTTTATAGGTAAGATCCCATCTTCTACAAGTCAGTTGATTAACTTGAACTTTCTTGATATGTCTGCAAATCAGATCAATGACAACATACCTCCTGAACTTGGGCAGTTTCCCAGCAAAATTCAATATTTGGACCTCTCTAAAAATTTGCATAGCGAACCAATCCCGAAAGAGCTACAACAACTCTGCTATTTGGAGTACTTAATATTGGGTAGAAATAATTTGAATGGAGCAATACCTGTTGGACTTGCATATTTGCCATGGTTAAAGCAATTACATCTCTCCCACAATAATCTTTCTGGCAAAGTCTCATATTGTCTTTGCAACTTAATAGTTCATGACTTCTCATACAATCTGCTTGCACATCAAATCTCAGGTAGATCTCTATATTCATGTCCATCCCAAGCATATGCCATTTCCAAAATTGCATCCTGTAGAGGTAATGATTCCTCATCCTATTGCTCTTTTTCCAAAAAAAGGGAAATAAAACCTGTGCTTATTTTCCTAGTGCCTCTCCCTATCACAATATTCCTTGCCTTGCATTTGCATTTGCATTTGCATGCTATTGTTGTCGAAAGACCCAAAAAATCCAAAACTGAGGCATGATCAATGAAAAATGGGGATATTTGCTCGATATGGAATTATGATGGAAAAATTGCATATGAAGACATCATTAAAGCAACAAACAACTTTCACATCAAATATTGCATTGGAATCGGCATTTATGGAAGTGTGTATAAAGCTCGATTGCCAAGTGGCAAAGTAGTTGCGTTGAAGAAACTCCATCGTTTGGAAGCAGAGGAGCCAACTTTCAACAAGAGTTTTGGAAATGAGGTGCAAATGTTGACTAATATACAACACCAAATCATGGTAAAGCTTTATGGGTTCTGTTTGCACAACAGATGCATGTTCCTGGTGTATGAGTACATGGAAAGGGGAAACTTGTTTCGTGCCTTGAGAATTGATGCCCAAGCTATTGAATTAGGATGGACTCAGGGGGTAAACATCATTAAAGCAATATCACATGCTTTGTCATACTTGCATCATGATTGCACCCCACCTATTGTTCACCGAGACATATCGAGCAACAACATTCTATTGAATTCTGAATTGGAGGCTTGTGTTTCTGACTTTGGCATTGCTAGATTATTATATCCCGATTCATCGAATCAAACCGTAATTGCAGGCACTTATGGATACATTGCCCTAGGTAGCATAAGTACTTTTTGTTGTTAGGAAAAATATGTGATTCCCACAAGTAAATCAATCAATGGGAATAAAAACTAATGCGGAAAAATTAAATCAAAAGCAGCACAAGAATTTTTACGTGGTTCCCTCAATGTGAGGTATGTCCACGGGATCGAAATCCGATTCCACTATCAACCAAATAGTTCCAAACGATTACAAACGAGACACGAATGGTCTCACAAAAAACACCCTTAGGTGAATTCCAAATAATCACAAATAAACAAGAGGAAAGAACTCACCAAACAGATGAACCAAAATCTTCAAAATCAGAGTTGAAGAAGACCCAAAATAATAATCCAAATCAGTGTCACCAAATATCAACCGAAAACACACCACCACCGAATCAAAACCTCATTGCCGTGCTTGCCATAATGCTCATAAACGTTGGGTGCTCACCTTCAGAAAAGGATACCAAATTATAGGGCAATCGGATGGTCCTCTTTTTGTGTATCGAACAAAAATAATATATATATTAGATATATATATTATTAAATCTTGGGTTTTGTAATCAAACCCTAATTGTATCCAAATTGAATTAGGTCTCCACAAATTAAATATAATATATAAAAATATATTATAATTAATACTAAACCAAATTAAACTCTTTTTCCAAAACCAATTGGGTCCCACACTCCAATAAGGAGGTATACCCAACAATTCTCCCCCTACCGACTTAGGTGGAGAAATCAACCATACCCGCCAAAGTTCGACACTTTAAATGTTTGTCCCTCGACAAAAACGGTATATATATATACAA